CTCCTCCTCCAGTTCCTCTAGAGCCCTCTTAGTCCCTGGAGTGAGCCCTGAGAACAGAGTGTCCCCAAAGCTCAACCCCATGGACTGCCATTGCTGCCCCTCCTCCTGCCGCTGGGTCCCAACAGCTGGAGGAGGAACTGCCTGAACAGCAGACCCCTGCCCAGTGCCAGCACCTACAGGCACCTCTGCTGGGACCACCCCAGAAGCATCCTTAAAGATGGCGAAGAGAGACACACGCGGTATCTTCACGCCGGCACTACCCTGGCCAGAGGTCGGAGTGGTGCCAGGATGCCCAGTTGTGGTCCTGGGCTTAGGTGCGGGGAGAGCCGCAGCTTTCCCCTCCCCCCTCCCCTCCGCCCCTCTTGTCTTCTCCTTTGCCTTACCCCCAGGTCCCCTCTGCATTTCCTTCCTGTCGCTCATGGTACCCCTGGCCAAACTCAGGCTAACTTGTTGTGGGGAGGGTATTAGGCACCTAACTTACCTGCACTGTCACCTGACCCTAAAACAACTTCACACACCTTTTTATAAACCCTCCCACCGAAAAACGTTTTTTCTCTCTTTCAGCAGACCCTAACCTAGCCTTGCTTCACTTTTTTTCTGGATTTGTTTTTTTATTACTAGTGAATTTCTACACTGGCTCTGACTATGGTTTACAGACTGTCCTTGAGATAGCTTGTTCAAACCTTTTAAAAAGTTTTTTGGTTTTGAACTACTCCTATCTAGATTCTACTGGAACCACCTGATTCCCTTGTGGAATCAGGAAAAGCTCCCTAATTGAAAAACAATCTAAAAGGGAGGGGGGGAAGTGTCTGGCTTCACCAAAGGCCAGTCAGAGCACAAACAGCACAGCTAAGCTCACTACTTTTTAAATAATTAAATGCTACTTAACCCTTTCTTTTATGTGAAGACAACCCTGCCTGTGAAGACAAACCTGCCTCTGTTTGTTCTCCTACCACTGGTCTAGTTAAAGATAGAACAGCTAAAGCCCTATACTGAGATTTAGAATATTTGTTAAAAATAAACCTGTATCCTTTTTTTAAAGCCTACTTAACACAACACACAGCTAAACCAGAAGCACACACAGAGAGCACAGTCCCCTATGCCTAAGAAAGCCCAAACAAAACCTGCTAAAAGGCAGAACAGAAAAGGCAACAGTCTACCTAGCCCCCCCCAAGCAGAACCCTAACCCCCCCAAAACCAGGAGGCCTTGCCAAGAAAGACACAGACCTTAAAACAAGCAGAACCCCCCTCCAAAAAAAAAAAAACCCAAACTCTCGGGGACTTGTTAGCTACGTCCCACTCTGGATCTGGCAGCCCCGCTGCTGTCAGGGAGCATGAGGGTCTAGGGGAAACAGGGCACCGTGCTGAGGATAAGGGGAATGTGCCCTCAGAAGGGACCTCTTCCCCAGCTGGTGAGCGGCTCTCCTTTTGCACCAAGGAACC